AATATTTAGCATATAGATTGAAAGAGCGGGTTGAAATATCAATTAGCAACATCAGACAGAATTTAGACAGGACTGAAATTCTAATTTATATTTTTCTAAATATTCATTGTTTTTATAAGTGCATAGACAGCAGTGGGATAAGACATAATAGAAGAATTTACACAAACATTTTCACAGAAAATCCTTTTAAAGTACCCATTCGATGCTTAGAAATGGTCAATTGTATTATATTGAATAAAGAACAGTCCATATGCATCTGAAATAGATATGTTTATATATTACATAATATATATGAATATGTATTCCACACAGAGCTTTAATTCAGTATTAACTAGTCACAATAGCTTCAAAGCAAATATTATTAATAATAACCTGTATTTCAATAAAAATGCTATATAATCCAAACCCAGTTGATTTAGAGTTAGATTTGGCTAAATCTTTTCTTTTGAATTAAGATGCAGAAACCAGGTGCTCTGCCTTTGTGATAAGATATGTCACGTTTGAAAACATGAACACATGCATACATTTCTACACACACCTTAGAGAGTATCTTCTTCTTTTCTCCTTCCTGCCAGATACACATTTGAACTAAGCAGAAGGACTCACATTCCAGAAGTATTCCTCAGTAAAGTACTTGAGCCAACCCTGAAAAGCCTTGGCGAATGCTGCGATCTTGAAGATCCTACTGCCTGTTTAAAAGCTAAGGTATGATTTGCTAACTTTTTTTTTAATTAACCATGTAAACTGCTGCTCATGGGCCAAACCTAACACATTGTCTACTTTTGTATGGCCACAAACTAAGAATAGAAAAATGGTTTTACATTTTTAAACTGTTGGCGGAAAAAAATCAAAAGGAGATTAATATTTCATGGCATGTGAAAATTATATGAAATCCAAATTTCAGTGTTCATACATAAAGTTTCATTGGAACAGAACCATTCCCATGTTTTATGCATTGTTTATGACTGCATTTGTACAGAGTTGAGTAGTTGCAGCAGAGACCATATATGGCAAAGTCTAAATTATTTATCATCTGTCGTTATGCAGAAAATATGCCAGGTGTAGATAATACGCATACTGATACAATGCATTTAATTCTGATTTAATAGCCTTATGGGACAGTGTTTCAAGACAAATAATTTTGTTATGCAATTATTGTTTTCTTTCAGGGTCCTCTGCTGAAGAAGGAACTATCTTCTTTCATTGGCAAAGGACAAGAACTATGTGCAGATTATTCAGAAAACACATTCACTGAGTACAAGAAAAAGTAAGCAACTTGTTCCAATTGTATTCTCCAAATTTATAGATAATATTTGCTTAGTATTGTGATTTGAAAGCATTGTCAAAAACTTAAGGTGTGCTAAGTGAACAATAAAAGGAAGTACAATTAAAAGAGTTTTTAAAAGTATTTGGAATCTAGTATCTGTGTAAGAAGAAGCTGAGTTCTTTTATGGGGGAGGAAATGTCCTGTATATCAGGCGAGTGGCCAATTAGAACACAGTCACAAAATGGAAATTACAAAATTGATCTGCAGGGATCTGATTCAAAATGGCACAATTAGCACATAGTTTATCAGCATTCTTGCCCCAAAGTTATCTGTAGATATGGTTGTACGTAACTGAGGAACTACAAAACTGCTGAAAAACATAATCTAACTTCATGGCATATTGCCTGACAACAAGATCCAAACTTTCAACCAAGTGTAGTGTCAGTCATCACCGGTGTATATTCCCTATAAACCGGAAATACAAATGCTAGTTATCAATAATGTTGTGCAATAGTCATTTTTCTCAGTTAAGCGAAGGAGAAAGCATTTCTTTATAAACAGGCATTAACAGTCCAATAGTAGGCCGTAATAATGAAAGGAGTGGTACTGGGTTCTTGGTGAAAGTCTCCATTGAAAAGACCATTTCCTTCCCAACTTCATTTAGTAAATTTTTCAGAGCCATTTTAAATCATTGAACAACATGGGCCCCAAGTAAGGACA